TAGCATTATTGGTCAATCAAAATATCTGTTAATCAAACTAAGATTGTAACAATCTAACTCACAGTCATCCACCTAATGAGTGTAAGTGCATATGTGCAAGTCCAGGAAAAGCGCTGTTGGTATGGGTGAAAGCGCTGGTGGTGCGTGAGATTTGACTTAGGGGAAATGCGTTGTGCAGAGGCAACTGACGTGTTAGAATGGGGATGAGTCAAATTCAGGTTAACGGGTAGACCTGAACCCAAATCAATTTTTCAATTGAGTCATAAATTGAAACCCAAATTCGAACTATTTGTTAAACGGGTTGACCCAAACCTGCATTTTTCAGAGCAGATTAAGATCAAGTACTAGATAGGATCAATGATTGACATCCCTAAAGGCACCATTTTTTTTCACTGTTTAATGCTTTTAGACCATCGCTAGTAAATAGGCTTTGCCTTCTTTTTTACTTTTGAGGATGTCATTATTCTCTCCATATCACAATTCACAACCATGTTGTCTTTAGTTTTTTCATTTTCAATATCTTTATAGAAGTCAATAAGTCATATTTGATAGTGATTAAATAACATGTAAATATTTATTTACTCCTCAAAATCTAATTTTTGGATTTTTTTGCAATAAAATTTATCTACTTGAGAAAATAAATTTCCATAATGCAATAGATTTGCCCACAAAAAATTAAAATAACATGTAAATGTTTACATTAAAATCTATGCATTTTTCCAAGAATAAAACTTTTTGAAAATAAAATGCAAATTTGCATTTTTTTTTTTTTGCATACAATGGTAAAGCTAAATCTATATATATAATCGTAGGCTTCGTTTGGGACAAATTTTTGTTACTATTTTCTTTTTACTGTTTTAAAAAAGAAATTGTTGAAGAAAATAATAATAAAAATGTCCTAAATAAAACCTTAATATTGAAAACACGAAAAGTTTTTCTATTTTGTTAAATTTATGTAATTTTTTTGTCTTAATTCTTTATAAAATTCCTATAATTAAATTCTTTGTAGAGGCTATTCAAAAGCTCCTAATACTATTCAAAACTTTTGAAATAAAGTAAAAGGATTTGGACGTCGACTTTAATTAAGAAACATCTTTTCATATTATTTCTTTTCTTTGAATTGCAAAATGAATTTCTATTAGTTTTATTTAAATCATTTTAAGAGAGAGAGAGATATTTATTAATCTTTATGTAATAGCTAACTAATGTTTTTTTTATATATAATTTTCTTGTCTTAAAGATATTTATTGAACACATAATTCATTATTTTCTCAAAAGAAGAAAATTTCGAGAGCTCCAAAATAAGCTTACTATTGCATTAAAATGATATAGAAAATTTCAAATTATTTAATATTTGACATTCATAATTTGTAAGTATGATTAGGCCATGAAAATTTATCTTTTAATTAATTTATCATTGAAATATTTGTGTTATATATTCACCAATTTAAAAAGGTCGATACTTAAAAAAAAAAAAAGCCTTAGGGTCGGTTTAGGAAAAAAAAAAGAGTCTTAGGGTCGGTTTAGGGCAAGTTTCTCACTATTTTATTTTGCATATCACAACTACCTCTTTATTTGGCTATTATGTCTTTACTATTTTCTCGCAGCTTTTAAAAAAATTATGCGGCGAGAAACAACTATTTACAACCAAAGTTATTATTGTGTGATAGCTTTAAGAAATCATTTGTTTGTTTTTTTAAATAAGAATATATTTATAATATTTGCAATAGATTTTGCAGATCCCATAACTGTTTTACAATTATCTTTATAAATCTTTTCAATTATCTCTAACAAATTTGAAATTAAATTTTAGCAAAATAATAAATATAAATATTACTACAATATACCTCAAAAAAATTGCACAAAATAAAATAAATTATCACAAACTTCTATATTGTGTACACTTTATGCATATATATTCTTTCTAGTAATTAATAAGAACACTTTAACTTTATTTTCAACATCTAATCTCTTAGACAAAGTTTGGTGCTTATCATTAACCAATTATTAATTCAAAGTGTGTTATTCGTAGTGGTTAATTACTTAATTAATTTCTTATTTAATATTTTATAACTGGAAGGCCACGTTTTGTTGAATGAGTACTTAAAAAAAAAAAAAGAGAATTTGGAGACCTAACAATATTCCAAAATCTTCATGTGCTCAATTCTTTGATGCTCCTCAAACTTGTGGAAGTTTAGTACACAGTAATTAAGCTTTAATTGATTAGCATTGATGATTAATGGAAATTGTAATTAAAGTTTTTCAATGCGAGAAATTGTTGTCGACCGGTAACTTTGATCGATCAAAATTGTCATATATTATGTAATGCTTTAACTCATATTGAAAAAGAATATTAAGAGGGTTTACTTGGAGTGGCGATAAAAATAGTTGTAGAATTATTATGAGGAAAATGAATCTTTTAAAAACTACTATCAGTGTTATAAATTTTTTCTCTTCGATAAAATACGATAATTTTCATACAATTTTTCATTGCAGAAATTTTTTTAAAAACTAGTAAAAAAGTATATACTCTCGTATGCTTTTACATGATTTTAATAGGTAGTTGGCATGTAACCATGGAGGAATTCACCATCATAGGGGACTTTCTTGGGGAATTCACTTATAATTTACGAAAGAACTCACACGCAATGACCAACAAGCGTTGCTCACTCGAGGCCTCACAGAAGCTAGCCCTACGTACAGGACATATCAAGGACTCCTCTGCAGAATTAACAGTTCTACACTCACCACTCATATCGACTGCATCCCATTCACTAGCTCTCTTCTAGAGTGACCGCTCTCACCTAACTCAACTAAATGAAGGCACTTATTTATGGGAACATCAGTTCGACTTGCCATGACCATCTGAGCCAGAGCATCCCTTCTCGTGACAACATCTCACTCGCCCTAGCTTCTCTACTAGGGTGATCCTAGAGCTTCCGCATAGTGCGTTGATCACATCAACCTATTCGCCAGCCATCGATCCCTTTCTCATCCTACTGCTTTCTTGTAGGCTCGCACGAGCGCACCACTAAACCTCATTTACTTAGCATCTAAGAGCACACCTAGAGACAACTTGTCGAAACTTTCTAACCTTGACCCCATTCAACCAGTCAGGAGGCAACACATGTCTAAGGTAGTGTGTAAGATTGTACATTTTGACTATATATAAAGGGTCATGAGAAATAGTTTCATAAACGTACTTTTTTGATTGATAGTGCATACTATACTCATTTTAAGACTCATATTCTCTTAAACATTTTGCACATTTCTCTCTCTCTCTCTCTCTCTCTCTCTCTCTCTCTCTCTCTCTCTCTCTCTTCATTCTCTCACGGGTTGTTGAGTCACTCGCTCATTCTCCGTTTCAACCTGCTACTAAGGTAAGACGTCCTCTACGGATAAATTTGGATCCAACAAAAAGTATATCCAAATAAAAATTTGATAGCTTTTTCAAAAATAAAGTTATGAAAAAGCCATCCAACATATCTGATTGATTATGATTAAGAGCATTATAACTAAATAGAGTTTTGTTTTTTTTAAGGATCAAAGTTCAGCAAAAAATTAGTGATATGCATGATAGTCAAAAACGTACATAACCTTCTTTTCTTCCAATTATTCAAATAAAGATTATGCTAGCTTTATAAAGCTATAGTGAACTCTCTCCTTCATATATATAAAAATGTTCTATCACATGTAAAAATAGTTCATCGATTATAAATACTCAAATTGTAAAAAATTAAGCAAATTCAATTAAAAAAAAAAAGATAAAGCATATCAATATAGATAGAAGACTATTCATCTTAAATTGATAAATTCTAGCTTATATCAATGCTTGTAAATGATTATTCCTCAATGGTGCATTTGATCCTAAAAACAATTTAGGAGATGACTTTTTTACTGCATTTGATCCTAAAAGCTTTTTTTCTTTAAGGAATATTATTGTAAATGTGAATACTTTAACAACATAACTAAGGCTTCATTTGAGATGATTTTTTTACTGTTTTTTAAAGCCGTTTTTTAGTATTAAAAAGTTGCTTTAAGAAGCAGTACGTAAGAAATTAAAGATGTCCCAAACTAAGCTTAAGTCGACCAAATTTAGGTTTTCAATGTAATCTAAGTAATGCACACCCTTAAGTAGGGGTGTCAATATTTGACACGACACGAAAACCCGACCCGGACCCGGCGGGTTGCCGGGTCAACCCGCCAACCCGTTTAATTCAAAAAAAATTGAATTTTTGCATTTCCCGCTCCTGCCCGAGCTGCCGCCCGCGCTGCCCGCCCGCGCCTACCACCCCTACCCTTAAGTGTGCATTATGAGAGATAAAAACTCAAATTTAAAAATTATTACGGGAAATTAACTTTTTAAATTGCTAAGAGTATCATAACTTTGTTTTTTTCAAAAACAAGGACAATTTTCTTACGACTAAACAACTCCATTCGTAAAAAAATACTTATCATCAAAAAAATTCTCAAAAGTAAAAAGGATATTGCATTAGAATATACCAAGAAAATTTTTTTGAAAAAAAAAAAGTTATAAAAGTTATTATGATTAAACTTGATGGGACTACCATCATAATTAAAGAAATATAATGTTTTTCAAATTTTAAAGAAAGATCAAGTAAAAAACTTGTGATATGATCTTCAAAAACGTACATAACCTTCTCGTTTTTCACCATTCCACTAACGAAGTAAAGATTATATATGCTAGCTTTACAGAGCTAAAGCAACTTTCTCCTTCCATGGATACAGTAAGCTGTTCTCACTTGTACAAGCATGCCACATGAGACCCACATGAGCAAAACTCAAGAAAGATACATATCATAATCGATGATTCATCATCTACATTCCTTTCCACCTTTTTCTTTTTTGAATAGAGGAAACTGTTTTCTTTTAGATAACCCTAAAGTAACCACCCACTTTATAAACCTACATGTGATGAGTTATCGTATATATAAATATGCTTCTATATGCTGATCATGATCACCCAAACACATTGAAACACTTAGAGAATTCTCTAATGGAAGAGAAGAAGCCCTATGCTGTGATCCTTATAATCCAGTTGATTTACACTGGCTTGTTTGTGATCTCAAAAGCTGCATTGAATGAAGGTTTAAGCACATTTACTTTCATTTTCTATCGTCAGTTGACCGCAGCAGTCTTGCTTGTTCCACTGGCTATTATTTCTGAAAGGTATAATGAATTAGTTAAGGTGATTTTGCTTCTTAATCATGAATTAGTATGTTAAAAAACTGATTAATTATGATGATTTTGATTAGGAAAAGGACCTATACGATGCCATTTTGGCTTTCAGTCAAGATTTTTATTCATGCCTTGATCGGGTATGAATGAATTACTGCTTGGATGAATATATAATATTTATGAAGTTTGCAGGAGGAGGAAATTTGATTTATTTACTTTTTGTTGTTGCTTAGGATAACTTTCAGCTTGAACATTTACAATGTTGGCCTGAAGTATACTTCTGCAACAGTCGCTTCAGCTGTGTCAAATTCTGTTCCTGTCATCACCTTCTTTCTAGCACTGTTAATGAGGTAATAAGTCTTTCTTTACTGTGTGTGTTTGATTATAAAAGTTATCTCTTTGGAAGTTTATAACATCTGCACTTTATGAAAATTTAGTGCGAGGAAAGCACTATTAATGGAAATTTAGTACGAGGAAAGTACTCTAATGACTATGTTAGTGGTGGTGAATTAATTTTACATTTAACTCATTGATTTTTAGCTTGGTTGGTGGGCGAGTACGATTGGGTACTCCCAACTCGTGCTCGAATCCCCTCAAGCGGCTGCACCTCTTAAGTGTGACCCAATCAAGTGCGGGCCATGAGGTATCTGGTGTGGGTGCCTCTTCTTGGTTAGCTGAAGGGGTGGCAGCGGGTAGATACCTCTGTTAAAAAAAAAAATTATATTTAAGATATTATGATTTTTAAAAAAATAAATATCATTCTCAATATTTCAGATAATTAGTACTGATATAATAAACATATATAACCCACCAATGCTTAGCTTGGTTGGTGGGCGGTTACGGTTGAGAACATGCCAACCCGTGCTCGATTCCCCTCGAGCGGCAACGCCTCTTAAGTGGGGCCCAATCATGTGCGGGCTAGGAGTTCTCTGGGGTGGGTGCCTCTTCTAGGTCAACCGATGATTAGTTACGCTGCCAAGCACCCTTTAGAGATCAGTGGCAGCGGATGGATAACCCGTTCCAAAAAAAATAAAAAAATAAACATATATAATTTCTTAATGCCCCCTCCACAAATGCTATATTTATGTTTTTCAGGATGGAAAGTTTGAGACTTAGGAAGCTGTCAGGGATATCGAAGATCATTGGGGTGACCATATGCTTGTGTGGAATTATAACCATTGCCTTATACACTGGACCTCACCTGAATCCATTGATCAAGTTCCAGCCCTTTGGCCCCAGAAATAATCTAAGCTATAGCTCTCTTCACTCTAAGGAAAACTGGATAAAAGGAACTTTTCTCTTAATTACAGCCAACTCAGCTTGGGCTCTTTGGATGGTCCTTCAGGTAAACAATAATATTATTATTAGTTTTGTTTTTTAGTTGTCAATAACTGATATGAATATTTAATTACAGGGACGGTTATTGAAGGAGTACCCTTCAAAGCTTCTCTTCACAGCAATCGAAAGTGTTTTCAGTGCAATACAGTCATTTCTTGTAGCAGTAGCATTTGAGAGAGATATCTCAAAGTGGAAGCTGAGGTTGGACGTGGGATTGATTGCCATTGCTTACTCAGTAAGATATTTTGATCTTACGTACAGTCAGATCACCTTAGTCTGTTGGCCGATGGTTTTGAGTTCGAGTCTTATATATGCAATGTGTGTGTGAGTCTATTTTAACTAGCCTAAATGTCCAAAAAAAAAATATTTTGATATTCTTAAATTGTATTGGATGAGGTAAATTAACTGAGGTTTTATTTGGGACAACATTCTAACTATTTTTAAAAATAACTTTTACGTACTAAAATTTTTTTAGCTAGAAATTTTTGTATTAAAAAATTGTCTTAAAAAGTATTAAGAAAACTGTTTTGTTTTTCTGGTCACAACTTCAATTTTATTTGACTATTACTTTCTTTGTCATTTTCTATTCATTTTTTGTGAAATTTCTGTAGCGGGAAACGGCTTTGTTAAGGCGTGATAGTTATAAGAAAATAGCTATCTTTTTTTTTCAAAAAAGGCATATATTTAAAATAGTTATTTTCTATACAATTATTTTACAATCATCTTTATAAAATATTACAATCATCCCTAATAAAAAGCTTTTGTTTTATAAAAACAATTAATGTCTCAATAATATTGTTCTTCTGTTAATATTGTTGTTGTGAATGCAGGGATTTGTAGTTACAGGAGTCTCTTTTTACATGCAATCATGGTGCATTGAGAAGAAAGGTCCAGTTTTTCTTGCTATGACAACTCCATTGTCTCTAGTTTTCACCATAATTTGCTCATCACTCTTCTTAGGAGAGGTGATTTCATTGGGAAGGTATGCAATTTACAAAGTTAATTTGTTCATAGCTAATATTGATGTCAAATATTAAAATATATATATATATATATATAATCCTTTTTTTTCAATTTACTATCATTAAACTTTCTAAAAATCAAATACAAATTATGATAGAATATTTGTATCTTTGCTTTAAGATTAATGTAATATTAATTTTTTTATATGTAACATTAATCTCAATAAAAATTTAATAGTTTTAAGATTTAAACTGTTAAATTTTACATCAAAATAATATGATATTATTTTTTTCATAAAAATCATTTAACACGAAAAATTCTTAAGTTATTCTTGATTCTATATCATGACAAAAAAAATATTATTAATATCATAGATAATATATTTATGATAGTCTTCATATCACTTAATCAAATTATGTTTGGTCATTCAAAAGCGTTTTTTATCTTTTAACTTTTATCATAATAATACAAATACAGGTTTTTAGGCTACATTTAGGACAGTTTTCGTATTGCTTTTTGAAGCAGCTTTCTAGCATAAAAATTTAAAAAAATTTATGCTAGAAAGCTGGTTTAAGAAGAAATAAGAAAGCCGTCCCAAACAAAATCTTAAAATGTCAAGTTAGCGTTTTCTAATGACAATTAAACTCTATTGGAATATTAACTTAGGCTTCGTTTGGAACAATTTTTTTTTATGCTTCTTACAACTATTTTCTAGCACAAAAATTAAAAAAAAATTTATACTATAAAAACATTTTAGAAAGTAGTAAGCGAACTGTCCCAAACAAAACTTTAATCATATCATATATTATTATCTTTATTGTGAGAAGAAGTACTGATCAGGACTAACAAATTTTCTTTATTGCAGTATATTTGGAGGAATATTGATGGTTGGAGGACTCTATAGTGTCTTATGGGGAAAGAGCAGAGAAGAAATTGAATGCAGCAAGTCTATAGAAGAAAGCACGAGAGATTGCGCTGTGGATAAGGACTTGGAATCAGCAAATGATCAATCGAACTCTGCTGTTATGTAATTTTGTCTTTAGTTTGTCCTTTTTTATAATCTTAAAAAGGTAGTTTTTAACATTTGGAAAAATATGATTGTAGTATAAAGAATATAGAAATATTGAGGGAATTAATTCCCTCACTTCTGTTTTGCATTGAATGAAATGATATATTTTATACATAATTTGGCATTTGCTCATATTTGATTAAATCCTATGACTGTCCCTAAATTTTTTTTTTTTTCAAAACACAAATTTTATTAAAACATAAAAACGGAGTACAAGAACCTTAAAAGCGGAACAACAAGAAAGCTACAGAAGTTACAATGGGGTAACAACCCATCTGGCTCAGTAATTGGCAAAAGCTTCCAAGGACTCCAAAGTTAGGCACGAGCCATCCAGTTTGGATTTGAGAGCAGTATCACACCAAGTAGCCATCCCAACCGAGCAAAAAAGGCATCACCAAAGGTCGCCACGAGCCACGGCTATGGAATTGTGAGTCTTAGCCACATCATTGCCTAGAAAACTATAAAGCACAACCGTAATTTTAAACGGAGCTCCAGTAAAACAGCATCCACCAAAAGCCAACTGATGCCCAAATCGCCACCACCACAGAGAAACCAACAACCATAGAGAAGCACCAAAGGTAACCGAAAACAGCAACACATGCCCATAATTATTTCCTACCACGTTTATCCCTCCCACGAGAGGAAACAGAAACAACAGGACAGTCATTCTGCAAAGCAAAATCATCACCAGGATCATCATCCCCACTTGCCTTCGAAGAGGAATCAAACGAGCATTGAAGTCAATCTAGTTGCATCCTAACACTCTCCCCCGAAATGACTCCCACATGAGCAACCTAAGCCTCATGAGATAATAAATTAATAGGGATGTCAACAAAACAACTAGTTACTTGAACAGTAGGCGTTATCAGTGAAATAAATCACTACAGAAAAATCACTGATTTCCGGCGGCTTTCCGGCGGTCACGTTTCCGGCGGCTTTCCGGTGCTTTTCCGGCGGTTTTTTCTCACGGAATTTTCCGGCGGCTATTTCACTTTTCCGACGGCTTTAAAAAATTTATTGAAAATGAATAAAATTTTTACTATGTAAATGATTTAACAAAAATTAATTAAAATTTATACAAACTTGCCGCCGGAAAAAATCTCCGGAATTTATTTTCCTACGCGGTTTTTACCGACGGCATTTAAACCGCCGGAAAACCACCGCTAAATTACAAAACCGCCGGAAAATGCCCAATTTCCACCGGAAATTGCCGCCAGAAATGAGTGATTTTCCTGTAGTGAATGTAGGATCATCAACACGAGCAGAAACCTCACTCGCCAAGCCTACACCAAAAGGTGTTACCGATCTATCCACACCCAAATTAATTGAAGAGCAAGGAAACAAAGACCTAGGGGAAAATTCATTAGGGATGCTTGACGAACCTGAATCCTCCACAGCCACACAAGGCCCAATGTTACTAGGCAAACAACACGGGGCAGACACAACACCCACATTAGATAAAACGTGACAAGAATTATTATCACAACCCAAACGACCACCTTCACTAGTACAAACATGAGAGCCTTGAACAGCAGGCAAGACCCCAGCCACCACACCCTTTGAAATCTCCACAGTAGAGCCAGCGGCAACCATCTCATCAACAGGAACCAAACCGAACAACAAATGAACAGGTAACAGGACGAGAGAAACCGGCACCAGAGACCCCAAGTCATGAGCAGGAGGGACATATGGTAAGACATCAGGGGACAAAACAAGAACAGAATCCTCAAGTTTACCAACATCGCCGCCACCCAAAACCTGCTCTGCATTCTCTGTCACGTACGGGACAACAACATTCTCAATAGAAGATGGGATTAAATTTGAGTTCGGGATAGAGGTAGCATTAGGGAGATCATCTAAGCCAGAACGACATTTGCCCGGAACATGGCCAATACACTTACAGGACTTACAAAAGAGGGGAAATTCATCCAAAACGACCTTCTGCACATACCCTAAATTTTCAGAGCATAACAAATCTTGATTAGGATAGGATTTAGTTATATCCAGCTCCACTAAAACACGGGCAATAGATGGCTGGGATCCCACAGAAGTAGCTTCATCAATTTTCAAAGGATTTCAAAAAATAGCACCAAGGCCATGAAGAGCACGAGGGGTGTACAGGTGGGGGTGAAGATGCCGAAAGGAGATCCAAATCGGTATAACAAGCGACTCAAAACCAACGTCCAAGCAAGGTGACCATTTTGTTAATTTCATATAAAAATTGAAAACAAGATAGGATTTATGAAAAAAATACCCTACAATAATTTAGGTCATTAGCTAATTTAATTTTATCAGAATGTGTGAAGGATCCAACAAGGTAACAGAGACTTCTCCATTTAACTTTAGATTAAAAAAAATTTTCGAATCATATTAAGAGAAGACATCTTAGAAGAGAAAAAACCAACTAAAGAGAATTGAAACGGAGTCGCCAAATCGTTGATTTCCTAGTCAGAAATCCAAAGAGGGGCAATTCACAAAATGTGGAAGTGCCTAACTCCGGAAAAGAAGAAGACGGAGAAGAACCAGCGAGTACCTCTAAAAACGAGCGCAAATGAGAAATGCCCCCCAAAAAATCAGGGTCACTCAACTTGTTTGGTGCTATACCGGCACCACCGGAGAAAGAACGAAAAAAAAAAAAAACAAAGCAATCACCAATACAAGTAGGAAACATAGAGAAGAAGAAGACTTCCCTGAAATCCACGAGAGCACCGGCGGGGAAGCCCCAGCAGGGCTGGGAGGAATCCCGGCACAGCCCAGGGAAAGAAAACCTTAGTAGAGGAAAAGGGAAAAGTTGGGGTAAATTTAACTTTAACTATCCCTAAATTCTTTGATGATCGAGCTCGAATGATTCAAGGGCATAACATATCTAAAAGATCTAGTTTCTTTTCTTTTTTTTTTAATTCAAATTTAATATGCATATAACAAGTCATTGACTCACGGGATTGTATTGTTGACTAACTGAGAGAAATTGTTGACTTGTTGGACGAAGCCCTGACTTGTTAGGTGAAGTCACAAACTTCAATGTGTTGTGTTCGGTTGAATTCTAATATTAGGCATGTATCTTTTGTTGTGTGGTGAGTGAGAGGTTGAGATCAGGAGCAGATACCCCTTAAGCTCAAGGGAGGCAATTCGCCCAAACCCCCCCCCCCCCCCCCCCAAGATAAGTAAAAAAAGATTTCTTTATTATATTATTTTTTAGGCGCTGCCTCTTTACCCCGCGACCTAATCAGGCAGGTCGAATCCCGTAAGGGGGCGCTGCCCGCTTGGACTCCTGACAGTTACTTATAAGTCCCCCCTTCAAAATTATGGGTGGTTCCACCCCTGGTTGGGATGCCTTCTATACAAATACTGATCGAATCTGGCTTAGCCTTTAATGTGTCTGTCGTCTACACCCCTTCATCGTGCCAACACTTGATCTTTCGTATGCCCAATTTTTGAGATTTTGTTGTATATAGAAACTATATTGTACAAATAAGTTCAATCTTGGGATGAATAAACATTTATCAAGCAAATGATAGGGGTTGGTGATTCCATCAACAAGATGATCATGGAAGCAAACACAATCTAATCTCATTCTTTTCAACATTTCCTGACCAAAAAACATTCAAAAGCAATATGTGTTAAGCGGGAATAATTTTTTATCACAAAGGCCTCACAAAATCGTTTGTGGTTCTCCCATTTACATAAATTTAAGGTTTTACGTACATTTATTGCAATCATGACATTAAATTAAAAAAAAAAAAATCCAAAGTTTAGTGTCTATAAAAAAATAAAAGTTGTTATTAACTAATAAAAGAAACAACTAAAAAAAAAACACTATAACCTTCCACAAACTCTTCATCATCATTCTCTTTATGTACTCTTATAATCATCTTTAATAATCTTTTCTTTATTCTCCACTAACTTCTACGGGCAGAGATCGGGTGCGGCCGAGTGGTCCCGAATGCATTCCTCCCATCTCACCCCGGCTCGAATCCCCAAAATAAAACTTCTAGGGGTATAAATAATTAAGCCCATCGGAGCTTAAATCCCTTATATTTGAACTTGAGCTTGATTAATTAATCATGTTATAGAGCTGAAGCTCGAACTTAATTGTACTAATTAGAGTTGGCACATTTATTAATAAAGGCAAAAAATCCTTTTTATTCAAATAGTTATTATAATAATATTATATAAAAAAAGAGAAGCAATAAGAAGGCACTTGTATTAAGAAAAAGATATATAATTTTTAAATATTTTTTAACAATTTTTAAAAAATATTAAATTTTAATATATTTTAATTGTATTTTATATTGATAAATTTTAGATAACAGGTTGGTTCAAACTTGACTTTTTTAGCTTACCAAGCTCAGCTCAAGAATCATTTATTGAGTCGAGATAGAGAGAAAATTATTTTTATTCAAGCAGTTATTATAATAATATTATAAAAATATTAAATGAGAGTAATAAGAAATCACTTGAAATAAGAATTTGAAATAAATTTTAAATATTTTTAAAGAAATTTTTAATAAAATTAATATATTTTAAGTATAATTTATATTAATAAATTTTAAATAAGCTGGCTCATGAGCTACCAGTCAACTCAGGGCTAGCTCAAGCTTGTCTCACCAAGCTCATCAACTCATCAAGTTCAGTTCAAGGGTCATTTGTGGAGCTGAGACAGAGAGAAAATTGTTCTTATTCGATCAATTATTATAATAATATTAGGAAAATATTAAACATGAAATGAGAAGTAATAAGAAATCACTTGAAATAAAAAAGAGATATATAGTTTTTAAATATTTTAACAATTTTATAATAAAATCAATATATTTTAATATATTTTAAATGTGTTTTATATTAATAAATTTTAAATAAGACAGTTCACGAGCAAAAAAGTCAATTAAGGCTGACTAAAATTTGACTCAGTAGCTCATCAAACTCGGCTCAATAATCTGTTGGGCGTGTTTTATTTGGAAGCAAGGTTGTGGGGTTTTGGTTGGGGTCTAGTGCTTCTTGGGTTTCGATTGAGGGGTTTGGGTTTGGGGTCGTTGGGGTGTTCTGTAGAGAATAAAAAGAAGAGTTTCAGTACATCCATAGATGGCTTTCAGAACAGCAAGAGGAAAAACTGGGAA